GCGGCGTCCCACATGCCACAACTAGATGGACCCACAACTAGAATATACAACTATGTACTGGGGGGCTTTGGGGAGAAGAAGAAGGGGAAAAAAAGATTGGCAACAGATATTAGCTCAGAGCCAATCTTTAGAAACAAAATTCCCATCTGCTTTTCCTCCTGCCAGCCTTACCAGCCAATGATGACCATTGCCAAGATCCAGGATTTCATTAGGGGTTGCAAAACCCTGATTTTATAACCACATCAGTCTCCTGCATTATCCTGGAATTCTTCTGTAAGAAAACATTCGCTCATCAGCTATTCAGTTCCTATGAGAAACACTGAGGTATATGAATGAAGGAAATAAAGGCGCCCTGGGATCTCACCATCCACAGAAAACCAATGTCGACATTTTCGTGTGTGTGTTATAAAGAGGCAGGACAGCAGAGCGCTGGGCACGCAGCCTTCCAAAAAAGTTTCTGAGTCCTAATCTCAGGTTTACCACGTATTAGACGTCTGTGAAATGGCAGGAATAACAGTATAACCTCATGGGGGTGTTTCAAGGGCAATGGAATATAGCACCCAACAAAGCTTTATATTAGGACTCGGATCTCAAGAAAAATTGTTGAGAAATCACTCTCTGAAAACACTCCTTCGGGGCAGTAGGCAAAAAAGAGTGAAATTGTTCATCTTCACAAATTAGGAGTTTGTGTTGAGGTTTTATAGCTTTTAAAACAATGTACCTTAAGAAATCATCCAGAGAAGCTTCAGGGCTCTGTCATTTCCCTCCATCGATAACAATTAGGAGAGTGCTCACTAATTTTCACACTTAGTCAGTGTTTCACAACTTATGAAACTGACTAAATGATGGGGTTCAAACTTTGTGACCAACTTAAGTGTCATAGGAGTCTTTTTTAATGTTTTGTTTTTAATTGTGGTAAAAAAAAAAAAAAAACACATAACGTAAAATCTACCGCCTTTCCATTTTTAAGCCTACCGTTCGGCTGGAAGTACACGTGCATCGTTATGCAACAGATCGCCAGAACTTTTTTTCTTGCAAAACTGAAACTCCGTACTCGTTACACGTGAACTCTCCATTCCCGCTTCCTCCAGCTGCTGGACACCACCATTCTGCTCTGTCTCCGTGAATTTGATTATTGTGAATACCTCATATAAGTGGAATGAAACTGTACTGTCTTTTTGTGACTGGCTTATTTCACTTCGCACAATGTCCTCAGGGTTCATCCGTGTTGTAGTATGTGACAGGATTGCCTTCTTGTGACTCTTGAACTACTTCAAAATAAAACGTTATAATAAAAAAAAAAAAAAGTCTGGCACATGGGAAGTGCTGATTCAACATCAGTTATCACTGTCCGAGATCTCCCTAAGTGCGTTTTTAACCGGATCTTATTTGCTCTGTTTTCAATGTTCTTTTTCTAGGCAGCTCTAATCACCAGAAAATGAGTAACAATGTCCCTTGGGGGAGAAAAAAAAAATGCATCCCACCGAGTTCTTCCAGACTGGAAGACCTCCCAGCACAACGCTTTATAGCTGGAGACATAATTATGAATCATCTGTAATTTTCACACCCTCCCTTTCCTCCCTTCCTCCTTCCCACCCTTCCTCAGTCTTACAAAACGTGTAGTGTGGTTCTTAGGTGCGCGTAATTTTAATTTACATAATTGGCGTTGCGTTATCCATCTCATTCTATTGTAAGTCGCCTTTCAAACAGCACTGTGTTCTTAAGATCCGTCTATGCTGGATGTGTTCATCCGTCTGCCTCATTGCGTCAACCTCCTTTGCAGGAGCTCCATGGAGAGCAGCCACACATTTACCCAACAACCCCCCTGGGGATGGACAGGCGATGGCTGCCAGCTCCCAGCCACCGCAAAGAACACTGCAAGGCACGTCCTTGTGTGTGCCCCCTTGTGGGTGTGTAAGAATGTCTTTGGGGTGTATAGCCAGGAGAGAGATTCCTGAGGCATGGGATGTGTGTATACTTAATTTGATGAAACAGTGCCAGATTCTTCCTCAGAATCGGAGGCAGCACACTTCCCAGAGTAGCCGCATTCTGACGCCCGTCCATCTCTGACAACACTCCACCCTCTCCATCCTTCTAATATTCTCTAGCCTAGCCGCTGTAAAGTGGCATCTCATTATTGTTTCAATTTTTCATTTCTCTGATAACTAATGAGTTTGAACATCCCCTCACATGCATGCTAGCTTTTTCAAGTTCTGCTTCTGCAAATTGCCTCTTCACAGCCTTTATCCATTTTCTCACAAAGGTGTCCATCTTTTTTCTTATCAATTCACAGGTGCTTCTTGCCTATTATAGGCATGGGTCCCTTGTCCATTTTGGTATCACAAATAACTTCTCCTATTAATAGTCCCTTTTAAATGCCTATTAATGGTCCCTTTTACCCTCTATTAAACTCAAACCCTTAATTTTGACATAATCAAACTAATTAATGTTTGTTCTATGATCTGTGCTTTTTTTTTTTTTTTTTTTTTTTCTGAGGAAGATTTGCCCTGAGCTAACATCTGTTGCCAATCTTCCTCTTTTTTTTGTATGAGAGCTGCTGTCACAGCATGGTCACTAACAGATGAGTGGTGTAGGTCCATGCCTGGGAACCGAACTCAGGCTGCTGAAGCAGAGGGCACCGAACCTAACCACTAGGCTACTGGGGCTATCACAGAGATTCAATGATATTCTTTCTGGTTATCTTCTATTAATTTTACAAGTGTATGTTTCCCATGTTGCTCTTCAATGCATCTGGAGTCCATCATCAAGTGTGGTGTTAGGTAGGAATCAAGGTGTATTTTTCTCCAAACAGTGAGCCAGGTTCCCCAGCGCCATTCACTAAGTGTCCCATCTTTCCGTCATTAATTTGGGTTGCTATTGTATCATGTTGTATATATAGTGTATATTGTATATATAGTGTAATATTATATTGAGTTAAATATTATATTGAGTAAAAATTGAGGGAACTGGTTTCATGGGTCACAGAAGAGCTGAGAAGCCAAGCAGGGAATGATGAGGCAAGGCAGGGGTTAGAAACTCAGCAAGCTGCTAGTCCCTAGGCCAGAAGGAGAAAGGGAGGATGTGGTATGACCAGAACCCAGAAGCTGGAGCCATCTGGAAGGCACTGACTCATGGTGGGATTTGCTTAGAGGTGGCTACATTCACCGAAGAAATACAGCTACTCCTGAAGACACCCACCAAAGCAGAGAGAGGGAGATAAATACCCTGGCTTGTCCCCTCCTCCCAGAGGCAGTCTTCTCCCAGTGCTTCCCAGTAGCCTAACGTAGTGATAAGCCAGGAAGCAAAGGAGGCTGGGAAATGTAGTTCTTGTGATACAGACTAGGGAAGGACAGGGAATGGATCTGAGAGCAGACAACGACCGGCAGAACTCCTAACCTTGGGCCTCAAGTCGGGCAGGAAAAAGAGCATGAAAATTTTCTGCAAAGTCCTGTGTGGCTGGGTCACACGGGTACCCCAAACCAAGCCTGGTGGCTAGAGCATTGCAATGAACTGATTGATTAGCTTGTAAGTGGGGCCGAGTAGGGAATGGGCGGGAGGGTGAAATGCATGTTGGGAAGGTAAGCTGCAAATATGGACTGCTGACCAAAGCACAGAGTGGCCCGGTCTGTGGGACGACAAGAGCCAGGAACTTGAGTGTCATCTCAGCTCTCTTTCTCTCTTTCTCTGGTCTGCCTTCCCTTCTTAGTTTTGCTCTCTCGGATCTCCTGTCCCTTATGAAACTGAATCCAAGGCTGAGGCAGTTGCAGGCTCCTTATCTTCTTGATTGGAGGAGCGAGAGCTCATCCCTGACAGCTTTAGTCAGAAATAAGTCCCAGGGCAGAGCCTGATTGGTGGGCTTTGGTCATGTGACCATCTTTGGGCCAATCACCATGGCTGGGGCATGAGGCACTGTGATTGGCTCAGCCGGAGTCACATGAGTACCTCTGTGGTCCCAGAGGGCAGGGTGTGTCTTGAGAAGCCCTTAATCAAGACAGTGTGATTGACCCCGAGAGCGCTATGGTCATTCTGTCTCTATTACTAACCTCCCGCTTTCTGGTTAGGTGTTAGAGACGTGCAGTTTGCCAGAAACGAAGCAGAGGGAGTCTTAGCTCATTTGGCTCAAACAGTCTTGCACTGTTGAAAAGCAGACTCAATAGGAAGAGGCTAAAAGGAGGAGAGGTAATTCTCAGGAGGGGCTGAAGCTCTTGACATACTGAAACGTAAATTGGATAAATATCCGTTGTAAACGGAGTGTGATTGCATCTTTTAGGTACGTTGGCATTAGAGTATTTGATTGGAGGTTTTCCTTGTGTATACGTGTGTGTGTGCACTCTGGGTGACGACGGGGGTGATTCAGAGAATGTGGGGGGCTCTGGGGTGTGAATGGGGGTGCCACTACACTACCCAGGGAACTTCTGGGGGTGTGAATGGGGTGACCAGGGGACCTTAGGGTGGGAGTGGCAGAGACTTTAGCAGAAGTAGGGTGTCTGGAGATGACTAAGGTGTCTTGAGTAACTTTGAGGGTGCTATTGAGAGTGTCTAGGGGTGATATTGAGGGTACAAATGTGAGTGGCTGTGGGACATCTTTTGGAAGTATGAGTGGGGTGACTTTGGAGCTGCATGTGGAGGTGACTCTAGAAATGGTTGAGATGCTTCTGTGGGGTGGCCTTGGGGCTGTGGGTGGGGTTGATTATGACGCTCTCTCGGGGCTGACTGTGGAGTAAGTGGGTGCGATTTGAGACAGCTCTGAGGGTGTGAGTGCGGATGACTTTGAGTAGACTTTACGGGGACTTGGGGATGATTTGTGAGTGAGAGGAGAAGTCATTTTGGGGTTTCTAGGAGCTGACTGGAAATGCAAGTGGAGCTGATTTTGAGGATGTCTGTGGCTAAACTTTGGGGGTGTCTGTTGGGGATGCTGCTCGTGGGTGTCACGGGGATGAGTTTGGAGGGTGACCTTGGAGAGCGTCTGGGGATGACTCCGGGGCATCCTCCACCTCCACTTGATGCGAATTCGATTTTACTGGGGGTAGGGGACAGGGTGGGGGCATTCAGGGATTGGCTGCTATGGTGTCCTGGATCCACTGCACATGGGGTATCAGTTTGGTGTAGACGGCGGGCTTATTGGGCCTGCCACACGGGATGTGGCCCCAGGACGTGACTCCTTGAAACACACCATCGCAGATCAGCGGGCCCCCTGAGTCACCCTACAGCACAAGGGGGAGAGAGAGAGGTCCGTGAAGCCCCGGGTTCTGCCTGCGGGGCCCCAGCTCTCAGACCTGGGCTCACCGATCACACCCAGCGACCCCCCAGCTATGGGGAAAGAGACAGTTATCCCCAGAGTCCACTCCCAGAGAAGGGAAGCCAGATTCCAGCAGAGAGGACAGTGCCTCGAGTCCTGGCCCATGGGGATGGGACTTCAGGGTCCAGGTTCTGCACATGGGGCAGGGTCCAGCAGGACAGTACCTGCAGACAGGTCAGCGCAGAGGAGGAGCAGGATACGTGTATGGGACCTTTCCACCCTCGGGGTCATCTCAGATGTCACCTCTGCCAAGAAACTTTCTTGGACTTGACAGAAAATATGTGTCAGAGGGAGGAAGGGGTGAACTATGATGTGGAAGGAGATACAGGGATGTCTGGATGGGGGTTTGGGAAAGAGAGGGGGCACACGGGGAGGGAGCTGAGGCATGGGGGCGGGGCTACAACTGGGAAAAGTGGGACAGATGCCTACTTTGCTCTCACACCCAGTCTGGAATCTGAGTCCCCTCCCCCGAAGACTTCGAAGCCCTGGGGGCACAGGCTCACTTACCACGCATGTGTCCTTGCCGCCCTCCAAGTGTCCAGCACACAGCATGTACTCTGTCACCTTCTGGGAGTGGGCGTTGTCACACACATCGTTGGACAGGAGAGTGAGGTCCACACACCGGAGTTCATCTGGGTATGTGACTATGGGCCAGGGAGATAAGGACACGCAGGTGTCCTCAGCCCTCCTCCCTCAGACCCGGGAGTCCAGCCCCTCCTCCCTCAGACCCTGGACTGCAGGTCTCAGCCCCTCCTCCCTCAGACCCAGGAGTCCAGCCCCAGCCCCTCCTCCCTCAGACACAGGAGTCCAGGCCCCCAGCCCCTCCTCCCTCAGACCCAGGAGTCCAGCCCCAGCCCCTCCTCCCTCAGACCCAGGACTCCAGGCCCCCAGCCCCTCCTCCCTCAGGCTAGGAGTCCGGGCCACCAGCCACTCCTCCCTTACCCCCGGGGGTCTGGGCTCCAGGCTGCAGGTCTGGCCCCCGACATACACTTATCTGGTTCGATGCTGCCCCAGCCGGAGGCATAGCAGGTGCTCCCCAGTACAGGTTCCTGGGTGGGCAGGGCCAGGACCTGCACGGCGGCTGTTATCTGGGTGGGCTGCGCCAGCTGGAGCAGCATGAGGTCGTGGCTGTAGTCGTCTCCTGGGAGGCGGTTGCTGTTCTCCAGGAGGCTCAGATTGAAGCCAGGGTGTGGGAAGCTTTTAGCGACGAGGAAGAACTGGGCTGTGTCTTCATCCTCAAACAGATTGTGGCGCCCCAGCCAGATCTGGTAACAGCTGGGGAGAGAGGGGGATGGAGGGAATGAGGAGAGGGGAGGCGGGGGGGGGGTGGGGCAGGGGAGCCT